TCGTCATCGTCACTGATGACGTCATCAGTGACGTCACTGATGACAGCATCGGCATCGTCACGTGACCCCCCCCCCCAGGTCACTTCACCCCCCCAGTACCCTTCCCTCCTCCTCCTCAAGAGCTGCGCTCTAATTCGGTGTTACAGGGAGTTGTAAACGGCTTTCACTTTTTTTGCATGTTGTTATTGTGCTCGCGAAGCCGATCGTTTAGGCAGCGCCCCGTCTGCCCGACGAAGTGGCTGCCACAGGACAACGGAATGCGATAAACCACGCCATCTGTACAGCCGACAAATATCGTTATGTGCTTCTTTTCACATCCGTGTTTGGCACGCACGCCAGGCTTTGATAGTTTGCACAGGTCCATGAGCTTATTGGGTGCAGAAAACACTACCTTTACATTTGATCGCATTGCTATTTTCTTTAGATTGTGCGACACTCGCGGTGTATATACGGAATCACAACAACTTTTCCTTTTTGTCGTACCGGCTGGCTCCCATTGTTTTCTACGAGACAGCGCTTTCTTAAAAGGCCTTCCGCGACCGCAACAAGAATGTGTTTTGGATACCCAGCATGCGAGCAAGCGCAAAACTTGCTGATTAAAACCCTGCGAAATTAAATTAAAACCCTGCGAAAAACCAGGCGAAAATTTCTAACTGGGACCAGTTGGCACCTCAACTGGTTTCAACTGGGACTAACTGGTCCCAACTGGGAATCAACTGGGACCAATAGGAGTCCAACTGGGACCAGCTGAGGGGTCAACTGGTTTGAACCATTCTCAGTTGGGAGTCAATTGGTTTGACTCCCAGTTGGGAATGGAGTGCACTGGAACCAGTTAGGAAAGTAACTGGTTGGAGTGATTCCCAGTCGGACTTCAAATGCCTTTCCCGTTCCCAGTTCACACTGGGCAACAATTTGGACAAGTTGGGGGTGTATTGACCCTTGCTAATGAAGAAAACTAAAAACACTAACATTTTTAGATTTATACAAATAGGGAATTTTTAATTACTCGGGTACATTTATATATTTATAAAAATAATATAAAAATGTTAATTAACTAAATAATTTTTAATTGGAAAATATAATTAGTGACAAATGTGTTCACCTAAATGAACATTTAGTGCATTATTAAAATATATTAAAACATTTATTTAAATACCTACATTTTTTTTTTTTAATAAATAAATTTATTTTTTGACTAATCAGAGCTAGCCGGCCGCCGCCGCACGCGGGTGCGGATTAGTGGTACGCGCTGTCGACAGATGGCGCTGCCTATGCTGACGCCGGATCCAAAGGGCTCAGCCGTATTCATCCATCCATCCATCCATCCGGAGTCGGACGGACGCTGACGGACGCGGTAGAGAAGGGTCGCCATCGCCCAAGTTGGCGTCGTTATGAAAATGTCAAAACTACAGCTGCGCTTCTTTGGACCTAACTGTACACACACCACGGTGGCGGCGGTGAACTTCGAGGATGGAAAGATGCAGTTCAGCGATCGGAGGGCACCCAGGAAAGACCGGACGGAAGAGAACACGCCGCGGAGAGCACAATGGCGAAAATGGCGGGAGGTCTACCTCGAAAATGTTCGACTGTTGTGACAGAGATTGCAAGGTGGGAGCGCTACCACATCTTATCAGGACTTCACCTGCGCAACGCAGGATCACGGGTGAGCACCTTTCTTCACGCGATGGGAAGAGAAGCTGAGGACGTCTTCACTAACAGACGCCAGCGGCCGATCTTCCTTCATCTCATGAATACCACCTCTGAAAAAGCGATTCAACCGTCGCAAGCAAGTGGCTAAACCCGGAGCGTGTACGTCACCGAACCTATTTAGTTTCATTCTCCAAGTTTTTGACAATAAAGTCTTGTCAACCTTCCATTTTGTGCCGTGTTTCATTGTTACTGGAGTTGGTGCCAACTCCAACTGGGACCAGTTGTAACTGGGACCAATTCCAGCTGGGACCAACTCCAACTGGGAATTGTTCCATAAACCAGTTGCAACTGGGACCAACTGGTCCCAGTTGGACGACTCCAACTGGGACCAGTTGCAACTGGGAATTGTTCCATAAACCAGTTGCAACTGGGACCAACTGGTCCCAGTTGAAAATTTTCGCCTGGGGGATCAAATGCTCACAGGACTTTTTTAGTACATTGGTGAAACACAGGTTAACAATACTCCTTTTGACTAGCTTGGAGTGGGCTGAATGAAATTGGGAAATCTAAGTCAGCGGTAACACGGGAAATCATAGAAGCCGAGCACATTGATTATTTGTTTTTCCTGAGAACGAGATAGTGTTGTTTCCCAGTTATGCTCTGTCATGGAGTTTTTTTTTTTTACTTTTGTCTTTTTGTTGTAATTGTGACGACGGTTGAGACTATATATACAGGAACACGTTTTCAATAAAATTCAGTTGAAAGTTACGCCTTGTTGTGTCCTCTTCTCTGCTTTTGTCCTCGTCTTTGTTGCGCACAAGATTGTATAAGATACCAACAAAGGTGAAAGGCTTGCATTTTAAGGTTATGATTAAATTGCGATTAAATGCCAAGGTGCGAGGACAAACACAAATCTCCAAACACAGCTAGGTGACTGGTGCGCGACCGAAAAAATCTGCATGTACTGATCATAATTAAAATATCTCGTAAGAGTTACTACATTTAATCCTTATGCAACTGCTCCTCGTTGCCATCGCTAGGGGATTCTTTTCCGCGTCTGGCTAGCGGAGAAGGCATGCCCAGCCCTCCGTCTGGTGCACGCTCTGGATAGAACTTGCCCAGTAGGAACTTGGCTGTCCCTATCCGCACTCCGAGTGCGGATAGTGGTAGATTCTTATCCGCACTCCGAGTGCGGATAATTTTGGATTCTTATCCGCACTCCGAGTGCGGATTGCGTTGGATTCTTATCCGCACTCCGAGTGCGTGTGGCGAAGAACTTGGTGTGTGGCGTGGCGCGACTTGGACGCGGGAAACTTTGACTTGCGATGTTTGTGGTGTGACATCGGCATGTTGGCAGCACCGATTTCATAGAAATATTAATGGTTGTGCGGTGTTTAATTGGGAGGAGACCTGTGTTTCAGAATTAATTCAGTTTCAAACAAATGTATAACTGTAAATATATAATTAAAACAGCACGAACGAACACAAGGACAAGTAGAAAAAAGGACACAGGCACAGTGCTGACTCACGATTTACTCTCTTTTTCGTCTTCTTAAAACACATCAACATAAGAAGACGCGAGTCAGCGCTGTGTTTGTGTCCCTTCTTCTACTTGTTCTCGTGTTCGTTTGCGCTGTTTTGATTATATGTTCCCTATTCACCACCGACTAGCTCACCTCCAAACATCACTGCAAGTGCATAATCGCATCTTTTTTTTTTTTTTTTCGAAATCGATTAGCGTTATGTGGTGTATTTGGGTAGAAACTGAACTGCACTCGCGCCTCGGGGGCTTGAAAAAAAGCATGAAAGCAGGACGTAAGCAATCCTATTGTTTCTTCAGAATCTTCTTTTTTTTTTTTTTTCTTTTTTTTTTTGTTAAACAAAATATTATTATTTGCAAAAAAAAAAACGGAAGTTGGTTTAAGATTTGTATTATAACGCGCCTTCGCCCCAGTCAGCACATTAACATTGTGTGGTGCTTAGCTGATAGGGGCAGTAATGTGGAAACGGTGGGCGGCTAGCAAACAATTTTCAATACACAATTGCCCCCCCCCCCCCCCCCCCCCCCCCCGGCCCCATCACACACACACAGAGAGAGATGTTCAAAACTTCCGCTGCCGCCACGCCCAAAACCCGCAAGCTCAGTGTTCGGCACCCTCGGAGTATATGTTTAACATCCTAGATCACACGCAACCACACAAAAACATCTTTTAACAGCCATCACATCTATCGTCGTCTACTTATAAAAGCTCAAATCAGTCTATTAAAAACAATTACAGTAACAAAAGGCCGGGGACTTATTAGGCATTCCCTCGTCTAGTAGTGTTGAAAATGTTGAGAAGATTGAGCCGGGAAAGAGGGGGGTGGGGGGGGGCTCTTTTTTAATAATATTGTTTACTGGAAATGACTGATTTTCCTACAGCCTCCCCCCCCCCCCCCCCTTTCCTAAGCCACCGCCTCCATCATCTAAGCACAAGACAAAACACGTCACAAATTGTACACTGCTCTAGTTTGTCTTTTTTTTTTTTTTTCGTCAATAAAAATATTTAATCCTACAGAAAAAAAATAATCGCCAGAACTTTTTTTTTTTTGGGGGGGGGGGGGGGGGGCGGGATTGTGAGGTTGATGTGTTTGGGAACACACACACACGCACGCACGCACGCACGCACGCACGCACGCGCACACACGCAGACACACACACACACGCACACGCATTGATCGCCTCTATCCGATCCCCGAGGCGTGAGTACCGTTTAATCTGAAGCGCACCACCCAATGCTATTTTTTTTTATATATATAAAACAATAAAAACATTTGCTTGAAATTATTTTAATTATGAAACCAGAACCACCAATATTGCCACAGACTCGTCGAGGCTGCCAACACGCCAGTGAATCAACACGAAGTTGAGAACCACTGTGTTCATAGTTTCCCGCGACATAATCGCGCCACACGCGGAGTGCAGGTAAAGAAAATCCAACGTCTTCGTGCCAACGTCTTCGTACCCCCGGTGCTGCGGCTGCCCGGTGCCCACCATACGCTATGCCGTACGCCCCGTACAGCGTCCGCGCCTCCGCACGCAATCCGCACTCACGCGCTCGGAGGCTCGGAGTGCGGATAAGAAGCCAACACAATCCGCACTCGGAGTGCGGATAAGAATCCAAAATTATTCGCACTCGGAGTGCGGATAAGAATCCACCACTATCCGCACTCGGAGTGCGAATAGGGACAGCCTAGGAACTTGCCGAAGTAGCAAGAAGCCGTAGCAGTGGTAGCAAGCAGTACGTAGGGGTCACATCGTTTTCGTTGTATGGGGAGGTGGCGCCCATGGCGGTGATAATGTGAAACAGGCGCAACGGCTCCGAAGGGTGTCCCCCACCAGTACGCCCCAGCCGCCCCAGCCGCGAACAGGGTGACACCTCGTGACAGGGTGCGATCACGTGACACACCGTGTGGGCTATTTGCGAGCGTAAGCAAGATGGCTGTGGTGCCGGAGTCGCCCTACAACGGGTCCGTCCCTCCGCTCGGATTGAGCTCGCCGCCTGCAAACTTTGACCAGGACGACAGGGATGCATTGTCGGATGAGGTAGGCGAGCCACGCAGCCGGCCCTTGCCCCTATCCGCAGGCCGCCGGGCGCACTGCAGCGCCTGAGATCGGCGCGACGGTGCGCAGCCGACGCTCGGACGGTCGTCGTACGGTGTACGCGCCGTGCTGTTCCGGCCCGTGCGATCGCATGTGCGGACCGCGGGACCGGTGCACCGCAACCCGCGTTCGAACCTCCGTGGACACGGCAGCCGACGGCGCTGCGCCGGCGGCCTTTTCCTCGTCACGAGTCGGTGCAGTCTGCAGCACTACAAAGAGGAGCGCCGTGCTCGGAGCGCGCATGTCATCGCGAGCGAAGCCGAATTCGGGCGAACCTTTGGTTCCTCTGAAGCTGTTGCAACGCCGCCGTGGGGTCCCGTGCTTTTCCCGGGGGCCGCCGACGGCCGCGCAATGCAGCCCCGACGAGGAATCTAGGCTGAAGCGGAGCGCCGTGCGACCGGTCGGCGATCCGGAGCGCTCGATGCGTCCGAAGGCTATTTGTGTCCGGCGGCGGGCTTGGAACGCCGCAGCCGAGCTGTTCCGGCGTCGATTGGAAGACCCCTTTGTCGCTGGACCCGCGTTGGACGTGCGACCCGACGCCGTGGACCCCTCGGGCAAAACAGCTTTGACCGTTTCCACCGTTTTCTTGCGCCCTTTGGCCACCCGTTTGTTTTGCTCGGGGTTCTCGGCACCGGCCGACGTCCTTGGTCGGCTTTTACCCGTCGCTGGACGCCTCCGGATTCATCGGGCTGCGAACAGCGCCTTCGCAACTTGCCGAAGTTGTGAGTAGGAACAGGGTAATAGCTGCGCGGCCGCTTTCAGTCGTTCCCTCCTTCTGATCGTTGGGCACGACCGCCAGTGCTTTGCGTGCGCTCGTGCACAAAGCTCCGGAAACGGAGGCGCCGAGAGTCTGACCGTGTCCCGAAAGGCGCTTTCATTTCCGAGGAACAGCGCGTGCTCGTGTGCGGCTCTGGCCGCGCTTCGGACCCCCCCGTCGTGCCCGCCTTCCCGACGTCAGTAGACCTCACATCGGGGCGCCCTTCTGGTGGCCGAAAGCTAGAATGCAAGGTGTGTGGCAGGCGTCACAGATACGGCGGTGGAGGTCATCGGCGTGATTAGGGTCACTGGGCGCGAGCGAGTTTCCTGTCGTCGTTGGAGCTCAGTCGATCCTGCCAGTGGCACGGTCCAACCCGCCGGAAATTGAGGCGTTTTAACGCAGACTGCGTTATATGACACTAGGCACTGACTAATGCGAGTACTAGCTATAGTGCACTTTTGCAGTGTGCGCGAGTGCTGCACTCTTGCAGTGACATTGCACGAGTGCTGCACTCTCACTGTGCACGAGTGCTGCATTTGGCTGGAGGTCAGGTTCTCGTTGATTGCAGTTTCAGCTGAATGTTGCTGCACATCTGTGCCCCGCACGGGCCTCTGGTATGTAATGCTCACTCCCGGATAACCCTGTGGCAAAGGTGCTTGCCATCTGGGACTCAAAGTAGCAAAGATCAGAAAAACTCTCGTTTGTTTCCTAGGGGAAGCGTCCTGGACTTCTTTGCAATCACGTTTATAGCGTTAAAAATCTTGAGGAGTCTCCACTTTAAACCTGCGCTAATCTCCCCCAGAACAGCCAGCTAGCAGCCAGGTTAACTGCTCCGTTCTCTGCTCCAGCTCTGTGCTGCTTGGCTAGCCAGGGGGCGTGGAGCGAGTGTGCCTGCACACGAGCTAGGAGACGAGGCTTTGGGGCAGACGCGAGGCTCAAAGCCTGGGATGCCGCCAGAGATGTGGCCTTGCACTCCTGTTTGAGCCTCGACTTTCTGTTGGATGTGCTACGCAGGATGGGCTGTGTGTCGCTGAGGCACAAAATGCCCAATGTGGCAACACTCGGCGATGCACTGCCACGATAGTGTGGGAAAGTTTTCGGTTGTCCCTCGACTCGCTCAAGTGTAGGAGTTGAGGTTTGTTGCCTAAGGGTTGCCATAGATGTCGGCTTCTGAGTACGACATGCCATGTCACTGCTGCGGGTGGTTTGACCGGTCCGGTACAACTGCTGACCCGGGCTCTGCCGTGGGTGTCACAGAGTAGCTACAAAGACTAGCGCTGTCAACAGGATTCCGCTCCCAACAATGTTGGGAGCGGAATTCAGGATGTTTTAGATATGTGGCGCAAGGTTTCGCTCTGTGTGCTCCAAGCAGAGGGGCCTTCAGCTAGCATGTCCCACTGCCATTGCGTAGACATTGGTGCATTTTCAAAGGCAACGAGGAGGGATAAATGCTCTCGTGCTGCATCTCCCACTGAACCATTGCTCTAAAATTTATCAGACGCATTGACACAATCTATTTAAATGTTCCCCCAGGCTGGTGGGTACGTGCTGATCAGCTTCCACGGTTCGTCCCTTTGGGACATTTTCATGGGTGGGTAGCTTGAACCGGTTGTACAGTTCAAGCTATTGGCTGACGGGACGGGTTCAGCCAATATTGATCCATCCATCCACTCCTTTAACCAGTGTTGTTTCTTTTCCAATAGTAATCGTTAGATATATGCATCATAAGGGTGCATGTATCTGAGACTGTTTTCAGGTACTGTAGAGTGCCCCGAACCAGCTGTCACTTGCCTACAACTTAAATGTATTAGTGTTAAATAGACACTGACACCCCCCAAAACACGAGTTTTATTTTTTTGCCAGGTGATTCATTTTGGTGTTAGAAGACTACCCAATCACTATTTTGCTAAAGTGTCGCATAAATTTTTAATGAAGTAAAAAAACCGAAAACTGAAGCGTGACTGGGGAGGAAGACGAAATATAGAAGACAATATAGTTGGCGAAAGTCACGTGGCTGTGCCTTTGATGACCCATGACTTCGATTACATTTGATGGTTGTATCTAAACCGTAGAAAACTGCACATGGCCACAGAAAAGAGAGTGAGCGCGACTCAAACCGGCCAGTTCACAGTTGGCGGTTTTCGGGCGGAAAGAAAAGGAATTTTTGGATAGCTGGGCTCTCGTATGTCATGTTCAAATAAAAACCCTGGCGAGCATAAGCACCCTGTCGACGTCCCTTTTTTGCAACAATTTTTCAACCTTGGCCCATTAATTGTGAAAAGTGCTTTCTGTCACTTATAAAATAAAAACAAACCCAATTTTGGCTGCATGGACTAGTTTTTATTAAAAGTAAAGTAAAATGAGGTTGGTTGTAGCGACATGATCCTAAGAGACGGAGAGCTTCTGGTTGTGTTCTCGAACACACTTGTGAACCCCCATCACTCTTCGGTGGTCCAGATGTTTTTGTCTCGAATCAAATTGCTTTCTGAGCTCCGGTCATGTCTGAACATCCCAACCAGTCGGCATTGCTGATGTTTGCAGCCGACCCGGGATGAGCTTGAAAATAGGAGCTTCATGGGTGTTGTTACCCGTGTGCCACAGCAGGAGAGAGGGTATAGTTTTGTTGACTTTGGGTAGATGGTGCCACAGGTGTCTAATCAACCCTGATGAGGATAAAAGGCTTTTGTCACATTCATGGGTGTGACAAATTGTGATGATGTCACGCCGTGGCTCCCCTGGCCGCCACACACAACCACAGGTTATGTATTTCATCATTTTTTTTCCCGAGGGCATTACAGAGAGGAGTGGGTTTAATATACAACAACACATAAGGAACAATAGAAAGGCAGAAAACACAGAAACATTACGACACATCATGTAAAAAAATTAGTAATTGAAACTCAAAAATCCTTAGTGTCAGTGATGGCAACAATGGCTGTGGGGAGGGAGGTGATTCCAGTCTGTGGAGGTTTTTGGCAAAAAGGAAGCCTCGAAAGTGGACGTATTACAGCAGGGCATTCCAACTTTTAGGTCATGTTCACTGCATGATGATGTGTAAGATGGTTCGGAAAATAGAGCATGACCAAGTGTTAGGTTAGAGTGACAAATCTTGGTGGAACATACTAAGACGAGATATTTTTCTACAAAGTGGGAGAATGGGCAATGACCGGGATGTTTTCATGGTGGTGACGCTAGATGTGTGGTAATAGTTTGAAAAAATTAAACGAGCGGAGTGATTTTGGATAGATTCTACTGCAGATGAGAGGGTGATTCCGGGTTCCCAGATAGAGGTGGCATACTCAAGTTTGGCACGAACGAGCGTTTTATAAGAAAGAAGTTTTATTAAAACGGGTTTGAGCGAAAAAATTTGTTTGATGTAACCCAACAATTGATTAGCACTGTTAATGACATAGTCGACACAAACGTTCCACGACAGATCGTTGGTTATATGAACACCGAGATATTTATGGGAGGGCACACTAAGGAGGGGGAGAGAATTATTAATAAAGTAGGAAGGACAGATGTTATTTTGACGAGAGGCTCATAGATTTACATTTAGTGATGCTAAGTTCTAGATGCCAGACGTCGCACCATTGAGTGTTGTTAATATCAGTTTAAAGAACAGAAATGTGAAAGTCGTTAGGAATTTTTTTGTAAATAACACAGCCGTCAGCAAAAAGGCTAATAGAAGAAGAAACCTGCAAAGGAAGTTTGTTAAAATAAATGAGAAACAGAAGTGGACGGAGCACCAAACCCTATAGAACGCCGGGTTAACAGGTCAGGGCGAGGAATTAGTCTAATTAGAATGAACAAATTGGAGCCGGTTTGTAAGAAAAGATTCTATCCAGGTGAGAACGTTACAGAGTTTATCGAGAAGCAGCACATGGGGAACTTTGTCAAAAGCTTTCGAGAAATCAAGAAATATGCAGTCAGTCGTAGAACCCTGGTCGAGAATGACGTGGAGATTATGAGTAAATGTTAGTTGCATTTCACATGAGAAAGACCTTAAACCATGTTGGGATGGGTTGAAAAACAAATTCAAATCCAGAAAGTTCAATAGTCTGGAGTAAATTCTATGCTAAAGAATTTTGCATGGCATGTTTGTTCATTATATAGGATGAAAATTAGAAGGAATATGTTTGTCACAACGTTTGCAAAGAGGAATTACCTTTCCCACCTTCCAGTC